TTCCCGGATTCTCTTTTAGCCACCGCAAGCCAAGCGACGAAGATAGAGTGAGCCATATGACGAGCCGGAATATTTGCTGTCCAATCATATCGAGTAGAAGCCTCGATGAAAGAGATCATATATAGCTCCCCCTTAGGTCCTGCTTCAGGTAAGTTGAGGATGTCGCTGTAAACTTTCTGCATAAGTGTGTATCGAGTTGATCCTGGAAAGTGACTTGGAAAGGGTTCGTGAGGAAGATTAGTAGTTGTGCACGTGGTGCAGTCTACTGGTCTTGAAGACGGTTTCATCTCAGTTCCATTCGGTAAGAGTAAACTGTTCTTGTCAAGAACTGAAGCTCGTATACTATGATTAAGAATTCCCGGTGAAGGATGACCTAACCTTTGATGCCAAATATCCTCTGTTGCTTTGTGTCCTGTTGATCGCAGATAAAAATCGACGTTAGTATAAAATGAAGAAATGATAAAAGGAGAAAACGCTGGTGATTCGTCGAGTTGGTCAGGAACGAAGCAGGTAAGAGGTAACTTTGTGGTGGTGATTTCCACGTCGAGAACTTTTCCCGGTTAAAGAATAAATTATCCTTCCTCGATTTCTGTTTCTGTTGAAACTGCTGCAGGTTGACCGACGAGAACCCCTGTGTCTGCTTCACTGCTACTCTGCTGCTCTGCTTTTTCTGCTTCACTGCTGCTGCTGGGTCCCCAAGATACTGCAGGTTTGTTTTCAAGTTATTGTAAAGTGTCATAATAGTTCCACCATGCTGATGTATCGTCTTCGGCTGTATTTGTTGGCCAGGAATCAAGGGTCGTTATAACTGCTGCGGCTGTACGAGATCCTGTTGGAACTGCAGTTGCACGGAAGTCTATATCAACCTTCCGAAAATCAGTTTCTTCGGGATGTTACCAAGGTCCAAGAGATAACACTCTGTCAGAATATCCAGAAGTCCCTTGCGACTCGAATTGAAGAACGGAGACCCCATACTGAGTGGCGGCTCTCCCGATGTAAGTATTAGTATCATTGTGTTAAAGTTCTTGGTCCATTATCTCACAATTGCCTTGTGTACTGGTCTTATGTTGCAGGAGTTGAGCCGTTGAAAGAAGATTAAAGCCAAGTCCAGCAATGATAAGGACATTTGTAACATGTAAGGAAAAACCGGTGTCAACAGAATCCAACATGATGCTGCCGATTGACCGTGCCATAATTGTTTGTCCGTTTGAAACTGTGACAAGTACTGGACACCGAAGTGGACGCTGATGAGTGATGAAGAGCGTCTCGGCATAACACATGTGTTGTCCACAACAACTGTCAAGATACCAAGCGTTTGGTCCTGCGATAACCCGAGCGAGATTAGCATATACTTGAGATAAACTCATGTTCTCAGGTTGCTCGATGGAACTTTCGTCTTCCTCATCTTCGAAATCTGAATCTGTTGCATGAACTGTTGTAACACAGCTAAAAACATGTTTGCCTTATGTTGCAGGAGTTGTTGTTGGTGGATTCTGCTTCACGGGTTGCTTGAACTGCTGCGACTGCTGCTGCACTCCTCTTTTCTTATCAGCTTGAAGCTTGTTGCAATATTTGATGCTGTGTCCATCCCTTTTGCAGTAGTGACGGAAGAACTTGTTGACACTTTTTGTAGGAGTTGAATAGAAACTGATGTTAACTGCTCCCTTTTTGTTACGTGCTGTCTGCAGGTCAAGATCCTGCTGCTCTGCTTGAAGAATCGAGCAAATTTTGGCTTCGGAAAGATTTGGTTGAATTTGACGAAGAGATCGACACTGCCGCCAATCTGCTCCAAGGCCGGCAATAAGAACCGTTATAAACATGTCCTTTGGAAAGTATCCGCCGCATTTTTCCAATTGGTCACGAAGTGTTCGAGCCCTGCTTATATAATATGAAACGTTCTCGTTGCCCTGCATCTGTACAGTTGTCAGTTGTGAGAGAATTTTACTCACGGAAATTGTGTCCTGTGCCATATACAATCCCTTCAAATGCGTCCACGCAGATTGTGCTGGAGTCAAGCTGGTGTGAAGTGAGCGTATACCAAGCTGCTCTTTCAGCGACAGATTGCGTATAAGGACGGTGTAAGCGCTGAGTGAAGCATGAAGAAAACTCTGTTGTTCCATCTGTGTTCCCGTAACAGGATACGAGTAATCGCCACTGAAGAACGGTCATAATCCTGCAGATTTCGTGAGGAGCTCGAACTCGAAACTCCAAGCGTATAAGTCAGCGCCATTAAAAGGTATAGTTGTCTTGATCTGCGTATTGCCAAAACAGAAAAACAGGTCCAGTAAAAGAGATCTGCTGCTGCGGAAACTGTTGTTGCTGTTGATTTTGGTGCTGTTGCTGAAGCTGTTGTTGCGCTTGTTGCTGCTGTTGGAACTGTTGATGCTGAGCAGGTGAAAACGTGAACGAAGAACTGGAGCTTGGAGCGGCTGCAGTTCTTGCATAGCTAGAGCCATCGATACTCATACCACTAAAAGCCGCTGATATTGATGCTGTTGCGTGTTGCTGTGATGTTGCAGGTACAGAGGACGAAGTTCCCGGTGGATGCACAGTCGGCAAAACTTGCTGTTGTTGAGGCATCCTGATTGAAGAATAAGCAGGTGGAAAGTTTCCAACTGCAGAGTTACCTGCTTGACCAGTGATGACTGTAGGATTTGTAATACCCGTAGGTCCAGTTGTTGAGGAACCAGATGATTGGGCTGACAATGGTCCAGTCAAGATTGACAATAGTCTTAATTCCAGACAGCTCTCATACCATGAAAGAATTTGACGACTGGTGCAGGAGACTAAGTATAGAATCTGCAGACACAAGTACTTGAAGTTGAAAGTCAAACTAGAAGTACCTCCAGTAACAGCCAGTACTAACAAGTTGTAACACCAGAGTCAGTGTTACAGCCTTGTGATACTTCAAGACTTAACCAAGGATCTTTGCTAGAATGGTAGACTAGTAGGACAGCGGAAGTCTTAGAACTTGTAAGTGTTGACCAGAATTTACTCAAGAACAAGTTAACAACTGAAGTTGTACCTGTTGTGATATAATTGATACTTAGCATTTCTGTAAGTCGATCAGGTGTAGTTTGTGTCGAATCCTACTGTAGAACATAAGTCTGTAGGATGACGTCAGCAAATAGCGCTCGTCACGAGGACAGTCGTTTCAGTCACGCGAGCAGTCGCACCTCTTCATTATTATCTAGGGCGCATAGCGCGATAGTGACGAACAGGTACATTAGCGAATAGGTACTTTTCCTAGAACTATAAATCCTTGTTAGGTCTTTTCATTATTAACTTTGATTTCACACAAGTTCACGTACTCAGGTTATTCAACTTTGACTATCACATTTTACAAGACTTCTGCTGTCTTACTAGTCTACCATTCCAGTAAAGTTCCTGGACTAACACTTGAGGATTTCCAAGTGTTCGTGTTTGCAGTTTTATACTTCGTCTCCTACAACATTGAACAAATTATTTCATGGTATGAGAGCTATCTGGGATTAAGTCTATTGTAAAAAATGATTGGTTCATCACCAGCACCATCTGCTGGATCAGTTACCGGTCTTAAAAACTTAGGACACTAGCTTCTTAAACCTAGGAAGCTAGGTTAGCTAGGATACTAGGAAGGCCGCCATGGAATGGCGTGAGGAAAGTAGATCTAGGAGCAGAGAAGAAAAGTGTCGAGAAGAAGAAACACGATTAGGAAGAGAGGGGAGTACAAGGAGGGGATTGTATCCTCTACAGAAAGGTTCAGTAACAGCTATCAAGCCTATCAATTATATATAACATATATAATCTTGACACACCCCCTAGGCTTGATAATCACACACCCAACCAACACACCACACACCCGACACCCTTACACCCCCATGCTTGTAAACAGCCGGGCATCTACCCCTCGTGTGTGACGTGGTGACATCCCCACCCGCCGAGAGGCAGCAAAGGCAACGGCCGCGGCTGAGGGCTTTCGGCGGTGTGTCACGGCCCGGCGACGACCGGGTAGGAGTCAGCAGCTGCAACAAGAGTAGGAGGAGATGCAGGGGGAAGGGAGAATGAGGGGGGGGGGGGGGGGGGGGGGCGGTGGCGAGACTTCAGTGACGCACCATAAATGGCGCGGCGCTTACTGGCGGGAGGACGGCGTCGTGGCTGGCGAGCGGGCGGCAGGTCCGGCGGCGCCAAAGACGTCGCTTGGCTGGCCGCAGACGGAAGACGCCGCCGCCGCAGCATTATGACATCGCCACACTGCGGCGTCGATGCCACGGCGGGACGTCAACGCCGTGCTGACAGCACGATGCCGACGCTGAGGTGCGGCGTTGTCGTTACGCGCTGGGGCCGCGTCGGCAGCGCCACGACGACAGTTGCACATGGCCGCGACGGCGGCCCTGCAACAACGAGGGAAAGGCACGGCGGAAGCGTAGGGAGCGGGCCTGGTGGAAACGACCGGCTCTGATACCATCTTAGAAACTTAGGACACTAGCTTCTTAAACTTAGGAAGCTAGGTTAGCTAGGATACAAGGAAGGCCGCCATGGAATGGCGTGAGGAAAGTAGATCTAGGAGCAGAGAAGAAAAGTGTCGAGAAGAAGAAACTCGATTAGGAAGAGAGAGGAGTACAAGGAGGGGATTGTACCCTCTACAGAAAGGTTCAGTAATAACTATCAAGCCTATCAATTATATGTAACTTATATAATCTTGACAACCGGGACTACTGGAGTACAGGCCTCCACTACCGCCGCTGGTCTCTTAGCCTCTGGGTAGTTTCCACCAGCCTATGCTCATATCGGTATGCAACAGCAGCAGCAGAATCCGCCTTCTGTCAACACTCCAGGTGTTTCATCGACTGCACTTGCAGCGCAACAACAACAATCACAGACAGCAGCACCGCAACAAGCATCAGTCCAACCACCGGTTTCAACGCAATCAATTTCATCTGCGTTCAGTGGAATGAGCCTTGACGGCTCAAGTTATATGCGTGGAGCCACAGCTCCAAGTACTGGTTCGTTCGCTTTCTCACCTTTTGTACAGCAGCCGCAATCGCAGCATTTTCAGCATCCTTTCTACATCTTCGGTCGTTCCCCTGCTCAGCAACAACATCAGTAGCAACAGCAACAACAGCAATTCCAGCAACAGCAACAGCAACAGCAACAACAGCAACAGCAGCAACAGCAACAACAGCAACAGCAACAACAGCAACAATAGCAACAGCCGAGTATTATTTTTCAGCCTCCAAATTTACTTAACAGCACACAGATTAAAACCACTATACCATTGATCGGAGTCGACTTCTTCTCCTGGAGCTTTGAGTTTGAGCTTCTGGCTCAGTCCGCTGGGCTATGGCCGTTCTTCACCAGCGAGTTCACGTATCCTGTCGTGGGAACACAACTGGAGCAGCAGAGTTTCTTACACGCCTCTCTTGGGGAGTAAACAGCTTTTGTTTGAAACCTGTTGCCGAAGGAGCAGCTTGGCGTCCGGTCATTTCACTCAAGCTTTACACCAGCCAAAACTGCATGGAATCATCTAACGGGGGTATACATGGCAAAAGATACAATAACAGTGAGTAAAATACTTTCGCAGCTGACAAGTGTGCAGATGATGACAAACAAAAACGTCATGGACTACGTGAATCACGTCCGTACACTACGCGATCAACTGGAGAAGAGTGGAGGATACTTCCCTCGTGAGATGTATCTCACGGTCCTTCTTGCTGGTCTTGGACCCGAATGGCGACAAACGCGCGCCTTTCTGCGCATGAACCCGAACCTCTCCGAAGCTGAAATTTCGTCGTATCTTCAAGCGGAGCAGCAAGATCTGGACCTGCAGTCACAACGTAATCTTCATTTAAGTTTTTACTCCAATCTAGAACCACAGCAACGACATCCTCCAAAATATCCGTTCTGCCACTTCTGTAAGAAACCAGGACATACTTACCAAAACTGTCGCAGCCGTCATCAAAATCGCCGCAGCACTTCACAGCCGTATCACCGATCGCAGCAGTTACCGAAGACACAACAGCCACAGCAGCAGTTAATGTCTCAGCAGCAGCAGATGCCGAAACTGCCGCAGAATCCATCGACGTCGCAGCATCGCCCGCCGGTCTTCGCATCTGCCACATCAGGAAATGGGGTTTTTGGATGTGTTACAACAGTTGATGTTTCAGAAACAGATTTCGAGACACACCTTGAAGAAACTACAAGTGCTGAAGGCATTCCCTTACCGCAAGTTTACGCTAACCTTGCTCGAGTTTTTTCAGGTCCAAATACTTGGTATCTTGACAGCTGCTGTGGTTGGCATATGTGCTCCTCTGAAACAAGCTTCATCACCAACCAGCGACCGCTTCGTTGTCCGATACCTGTCACAGTTGCAAACCGACAAACGATTATGGCACGTTCTGTTGGGAGCGTAATGCTCGAGTCAATTGACATGGGATACTCACTCCATGTTACCTATGTTCTAATCGTCGCCGGTCTTGGCTTCAATCTTCTCTCCACGGCTCAACTCCTGGCACACAAAATTCGGACACAGGGCAATTGTGAAACAATGGATCAAGAATTATGGCACAGCCCAACAAATACCTACCGCGGCCGTGCCGCCACTCAACATGGCGTTTCCGTTCTTCAGTTTACGGCACAAGGAACTTCTGGTAACTCTGAACGCGTTCTTGCACTTGGTCCCTGGGATCATCCAGAAGAAACCGATTATCAGCACGTGGATATTGATTTTAGAGCAACTTCTGTGCCAACATCTTCTCGAACTGCAGCCGCCGTACTCACCACATTGGATACCTGGGAGTTCAGTACCGCCGATGCCGGCGCCAATGCTTGGCGAACATTTTACAATACTCGCGAAGCTCTTCAAGGAACTCCAGCTCCACTTTGGGGTGAAATTAGCGGCCTTGCAGCTGATGAACCGGATGTCGATAAAGAAGCTGAACAGGAAGAAGTAGCTGAGCAGCCGAGTCCCCCAGTCGCTGTCTCAGAAACACCTGCCATCACATCAACCGAAGCAGTATCAGAAGTTGTCGTTACACCTGCAGCAGCACCATCAAACCTCACGTTACCACCTACCCGTTTCGTCGAAGGAGAGATTGACATTTCACCAGCACTTTCTTCTTTTATAATTTCTTCGTTTTATACTAACTCCGATTTTTACCTGCGATCATCATGACACAAAGCCACAGAAGATATCTGGCATCAGCGGTTAGGACATCCATCATAGGGAATTCTTAATCATTCAATCCGAGCAGCAGTTCTTGATAAAAAAATAGTCTTCTTTTCCTTGACGGCACAGAGATGAAGCCGCATTCCCGTCCCACAGTCTGCACCACGTGCCCGGTCGCCAACCTTACCCACGATCCGTTTCCAAGTCATTTTCCTGGATCCACACGTTACAAGCTGATGCAGAAGGTTTACAGTGATATACTTAACTTACCTACCGCAGGTCCTAAAGATGAGCAGTATGTAATCACGTTCATCGAAGCATCCACTTGCTACGTCTGGACAGCAAATCTTCCTGCTCGACATCTCGCCCATTCAGTCTTCGTTGCATGGCTTGCCGTCGCTGAAAGAGAGTCTGGCGTCAAACTGCAAGAATTCTAGAGTGATGGCGCAGGGGAATACACGAGTAACGCCTTCATCGAACACCTGCAGAATCTCGGCATCAAACGGAAGCAGTCACTGCCACACGCACACCAACAGATGGGGCTAGCAAAGAGAATGAACCGGACTCCGCAAGAGAAGATGCATGCTCTGCTGACGCAGGCAGCTCTTCCGCCTCGTTTTTGGCCATATGCGATGGACCATGCGGTGATGTTACACAACCTGCTGTCTTCCACGCCACTGCCCGAGTTTTCTTCTCCGCACCTACAGTGGACACGTACAGTGGGAAGCACCAAACTTTTACGAGTTTTCGGGTGTGTCGTGCAGTTTCGTCCTCCAACTGCAGCGCTTGGCAAATTTTCAGAAAGGGCAAAATGGGGGGTACACCTCGGCATCGAAAAACAGTATCATGCGTGGAAGATTTTGGATCTTCGCTCCAACCAAATCGTCCCTTCACGTGATTGTCTCTTCTACGAAAGACTCACCTTACCCGTTTTTCGTGCCCACCAGGCCGCAGCTACCAACCCCGCCAGGCTGTTGGAGGGTTCGCGTGCATTTGCAACCGACGAAGCCGAAGCTGATATACAGGACGAAGCCGTTCTGAAGCATCCGAAGCTGCCGCAACTGACATTCCCGAACCTGTAACCTCGACTGGCATACCGGAGTTTATTCCTCTTACAGATGCTCACTCAGCTGACGTTCGCGAAGTTCATCTCAGTTACGAACGCGATCGCCAACAGCAGCCGATGCCAGTTGTCTCCGACGAAGCAATTCGTGTTACACCTGACGAAATTGGGGGGGAAGAAGGAGCAGAAGAAAAATTCGCAGGTGCAAACAAAGAACGTCCGCGTTTTACAGAAACAGGATTACAGATACTTGGATTTGCAGTCGCAGTACAGTGCAAGAACAGTAAGATACCTGAACCGAAAACTGTTCGACAAGCTCTTACGAGTCCTCACCGAGAGAAATGGTGCGAAGCCATGGACAGAGAGCTAGCAGCTCTTTAGAGTCGCGGAACATGAGAGTTAATACCGACATCAGAGTACAAGGGAAGAAACTACTCACCGGAAAATGGGTCTTCCGCGTCAAGACTAATGCAGATGGGTCATTTGAAAAATTCAAGGCGCGATGGTTGTCCGCGGGTTTGAGCAGACTTACGGCATCGACTACGAACTAACCTTTGCTCCTGTCGGCCGACACACAAGCGTTCGAATTCTACTATGTGTCGCCGCCTGTCGTAATCTGCGACTTCGACAGATCGACGTATCAAATGCTTTTCTCTACGCACCCGTCGACGCACTCATCCTCGTAGAGTACCCTCACTCGTACACCACTAATCCACCGAGAGTTTGCCGTCTCAGAAAATCACTGTACGGCATTAAACAGGCACCACGACTCTGGCAGCAGTACCTTCACTCGCAGCTAGTCGCTGCCGGATTTCGTCAGTTACCGCATGACCAAGGAATGTATCTTCTGACCGACGGCAGCAACTACATTCTACTCGTCGCCTACGTCGACGATATCCTCTACGTCAGTACCACGGATTCGCTTGCCGATGCCTTCATACTGAAACTACAGAAAATCTACAGCTTACCGTCTCCGAAACAGTCTCACAGTTTCTTGGTCTGAACATTACCTGTTCACCAACATCTATTCATCTCACCGCTTCGAAGTACGCAGCGACACTCGCTGCCCGCTTCGGTCTTATTCCTACTGCAGTTTCTACACCGTACCGATCTCTACCGGCTGACTACAAACCGAATACCGCACTGTTAAGTCCAATTGGTTTACAGACCTATCAACAACAGTTAGGCTGTCTACTCTTCGCCGATGTCACTTGTCGTCCAGATTTAGCTTTCGCGGCCGGTCAGCTCGCTTAGTTCCTACGCCGTCCTGAAGAAGAACATCAACTCGATCTTCTTCGTGCGCTTCAATATTTCGTCTCAACACCTAACGTCGGCTTAGTCTACAACGTGGTCAACTGTAAAACTCTATACCTACACGGTTTCGTCGACGTCGACCACGCTGCTGATTCCACTAATCGACGATCGCGCACTGGATTCATCTACAGGCTTGAACCTATCGGACCTATTTCTTGGAATTCAACGAAGCAGGAGTTTATTGCTCTCTCCTCTGCTGAAGCTGAGTTCATCGCAGTCTGCACAGCAACATGCGAACGACTTTACCTACAGGAACTGTTGGAAGAAGCGAAGTTGACGACGACTACCCCAGTTTACCCTACAGTGCGACAACCAAAGTGCAATTCGCATCGCACATCAGCCTGGCTTCGTCAACAGGACGAAACACATTTCTCTGCGTTACTTTTTCGTCAAGGATGAAGTCGAGAAGGGGAGGATGCGATTGGTCTATTGTTCGACCAACGAAATGGCTGCCGATTTCCTCACGAAAAAGCTGACACGACAAAAGTTCCAATACTGCAACAAGCTTTGCGGAATCTTCAAGTGACACTATCGAACTTCCAGAAATGAAAGAGAGTGTTGTGATATAATTGATACTTAGCATTTCTGTAAGTCGATCAGGTGTAGTTAGTGTCGAATCCTACTGTAGAACATAAGTCCGTAGGATGATGTCAGCAAATAGCGCTCGTCACGAGGACAGTCGTTTCAGTCACGCGAACAGTCGCACCTCTTCATTATTATCTAGGGCGCATAGCGCGATAGTGACGAACAGGTACATTAGCGAATAGGTATTTTTCCTAGAACCATAAATCATTGTTAGATCTTTTCATTATTAACTTTGATTTCACACAAGTTCACGTACTCATGTTATTCAACCTTGACTATCACATTTTACATGACTTCCGCTGTCTAACTAGTCTACCATTCCAGTAAAGATCCTGGACTAACACTTGAGGATTTCCAAATGTTCGTGTTCGCAGTTTTACACTTAGTCTCCTACAACATTGAACAAATTATTTCAGTACCAACTACTTTTATATCTGTTAGAAGTGCCTATTCGGTAATGTATATGTTAAAAACTATTTGCGCTATGCGCTATTGAAAAGAGCGCGACTGTTCGCGTGACCGAAACGGCCTGCTGACGTAATCATGCAGACGAGTGTTATTTGTTGACGTCATTCTATGGATGCTAACTACAGTGTGACTCGACAATATCTATCGGAACTGAAATAATTTGTTAGGTGTTGCAGGAGACTAAAGAAATAATCTGCTAACACGAGTACTTAACCAAGGATCTTTGCTGGAATGGTAGACTAGTAAGACAGTGAAAGTCTTATAGGAGTGAACCTGAGCACATGAACTTGTGGGTAGTCGAAGGTTGAATAACCTGAGCACATAATTCTGTGTAAAGTCAAGGTTAATAATAGAAAGGCATTACAAGGATTTATAGCTCTAGGGAAAAGTATCTGTTCGCAAATGTATCTGTTCGTCACTATCACGCTATGCGACCTATTCGTCATACTATAGGGTCGCGACTGTTCGCGTGATTGAAACGACTCGTTACGCCTATTTGCGTAACTGAAGCGGTATGATGACGTTATCAATGAGACGCGCGATGCTTTGCTGACATCAGCACTCGGTCATGGTTACTTACTGAGAAACGCGATACTGCGAGCTACACCAAAAACGGAACTTGCAGGAATGCAAAACTTCAATTATCACAACAGGAACTACTTAAAGGAATGCTGAAGTACGATTTTGTCACAACAGCTGCAACCTGGGACCGATCGGCGAAATTTGGTTGGCCGAGGCTTCCTGCAGAATTTTGTCGCAAAATTTGACGGCCTCGGTTCCCGCGGGAATCCTCCCTCCCTCATCACCCCCCCCACTCTGCCCGGTCCCTGCCCTCCCCGAGTTCCGTTCTGCCCATCCCCCAATTCCGTAAAAACAGTGATATTCTGAAGTAACCCTGATCACTACTCAGCGTTTTTTTTTGGGGGAGCCCTGAAAAATCAGGCTAAACATGGGGGGGGGACCCTGAGCAATCAGGGTACCTCAAAACCAATCTGAGGCCCTGCTACCTATACTTCCTCCTCGTGTCTAGTGGTCTAATACGTGTGGTTGACACGCTATAGGAACACATCCAAACACATAGTACCCTAAGGAGGTCCAGGCCAACGGATAACCCCAGCCTTGGTGCACCCAATGCACCAGTTGAGCACTCGCAGCGGCTGCACCACTATGGGCGATCGCACCACGTGGCCCAGCTCGTCCGTCCACGTGAGGCTGCCGAAGTAGAATCGCATGGCCTTGGTGGTCACGCGCAGCGCCACTGCGATCGTCACGCTCTCCCCCGGCCGGATGGTGAACCGCGTGGGCTGCACCGTCACCACCACGCCGTGTGGGCTCACCACCTCCGCCGTGTACGTGGACGCCGCGCCCGCCACGCTTGTCACCGTGCGCCGGACCACCGTCTCACCCTTGGCGCGCCCCAGCGCAATCGACGGCCGGTTCAGGTTGCGCGGGGCCAGGCGCCTCAGAGGGGCGGTGGGGAAGCGCTTGCGGGTGCGGTGCCAGCTCTGGCCAGCGAGGAAGTTGCGGTAGTGCTGCTCGCCCGCGTCGTACGTCAGCCCAGGGTCCAGCACGCCCGCCGGGTTCACCACCCCGCTGCCCATCTGCCACGGCGTGGCTGCCTTGCCCGCCTGTGTGCGGATGGGCCGGCCTTGTGTGTTGGCGGTGCGCGCCGTGGTCATGAGCGCCGACATCACCTGCGCCGCCGACCACGTGGGCCGCAGCTGCACCACCAGCGCAGCGATGCCTGCCATGAGCGGCGCCGCCATGTACGTGCCCGTGCGGTTCACCAGTCCCCCGCTGTCACCCATGGCAGTGGCGGGCGCGGCGGACCAGAGGTTGACGCCCGGCGCGATGAGGTCGGGCTTGAGGATGGCGTTGGTGGGAAAGGGCGGCCGCGCGCGGTACCACGGCCACACCAGCGGGCCCGCCGCTGAGAAGGCGGCCACCACGGGTGCTGCAGTGGCCCACGGCTGCACTGCTGCAGCATGGGCTGTGGCCGACAGTGGCGCTGTGATGCTGGAGACATAGATGAGGGGCGGGTGGAGTGGAGACACACAAGGCGAGATGGCATCATGCATGCGGGGGTGTGCAAGTGGTGCAACGACGGCAGGGATGTGTGTGCGGGTCCGTACTTCTGTGTGGGGGGAAGGGAGGTCTGGGTGGCAGGGGCTGAAAACATTCCTGATGAAAAGAAGAACGGAAGGTGGGAGGGAAGGAGGTAGTGCGGGAAGGATAGATGGGGACAGGAAGGAAGCACAAGTGGGTTGGGTGAGGGAGGAAGAGAAGCAAAAATGGTAACTCTTGGGTCTTACTGTGCCGCAAGCAGGGCTGTATGTTCCCAAGCACCCCACCTGGCGTTGGTGGCAGCAGCTGTGAGCGCCGCGTTGCTCTTAAGCGCTGACACCGCCCCAAGCACTACCCCGCCCCCCTCGATGGTGCTGTGGCACGCACACATACAGGGGGCACGAGAGGGCAGGGAATGGAAAAAGTAGGCGCCAATCAGAGAAGAGACAAGAGACAAGCGGGCCAAGCATAATCCAAGAGGTGCTATGTGCTATTCTGCCCTGCACCAAACAGGGAAGGCAGACAAATGAACCTCCTAGCCTGGCACATCAGCACCACCTGGCGAATGACCCCGCCTGGCGAATGACCCCGCCTGGCGAGTGACCCCGCCTGGCGAGTGACCCCGCCTGGCGAATGACCCCCCCTGGTGAATGATCCCGCCTGGCGAATAACCCCGCCTGGCGAATGACCCCGCCTGGCGAATGACCCCCCGCCTGGCGAATGGGCTCACTCACCTGGCGCCGACAGTGAGGTAGAAGGGCGAAAAGTTATCGATGACGCGGATCTGCAGCCCCAGCGTGCGCCAGAAGTTGGGCGCGCCCCAGTCGCCCGCCGCCATCACCACCACCACGCCCGCCTGCCGGTCACAAGAATCAGTGGGTGGGTTAAGGGGCAGCAATGTGACAACTTCCATGGCTGACTTGCGACATGTCGATATGCTTTTTTGGGAAAACGAAGTCGCAGCAAGCTGATGGCGAGAGGCACGCCATCCAGCAACACGGCACATGGCATGCCACACGCCATCCGGCAACACGGCACACGCCACACGGCACATGCCAGACGGCACACGGCATGCCACACGCCATCCGGCAACACTGCACACGCCACACGGCACACGCCACACGGCACATGGCATGCCACACGCCATCCGGCAACACGGCACACGCCACATGGCACACGGCATGCCACACGCCATCCGGCAACACGGCACACGGCACACGCCATCCGGCAACACGGCACACGCCATCCGGCACACAGCACACACGGCACACGGCACACACGGCACCCGGCACATGCCATCCGGCAAAACGGTACACGGCACACGATACATGCCATCCAGCAACACGGCACGCGCCACACGGCACACGGCATGCCACACGCCATCCGGCAACACGGCACACGTCACACGGTACACGCCATCTGGCACACGCCATCCAGCACACAGCACACACGGCACACGGCACACACCGCACCCGGCACATGCCATCTGGCAACACGGCACACGGCACACGACACACGCCATCTGGCAACACGGCACACGGCACACGACACTTGCTTCTCTTGCTTAACGACACTCGCCCCACCCACCACCGCCTCCCTCCATCCCTTTACCCTTCCTTTGCCCTCCCCTCCCCCAAACAGCACATTCCCCCTCTCCCCTCCCCCCGAACCTCCTTCTGTCTCTCACACTCTCAGCCCCTCACTGCCACCATCACTGCCGCCCTCACTGCGGCCCTCACTGCCGCCCTCAACCACCAGTGTGCACCCGTGGTGGCGCTCCTCACGGCGTTGGCGTGGAGGAAGGGCGTGTCGGTGAAGAAGGTGGCCTCCGTGGCGCCAAACGCGCCCGTGGTGAGGCACAGCACGTCCACACCGTCCGCCACTGCAAGGTCCACGGCGGCCAGCACGTCCGCCTCGTACCCATACCCCGACCACACTGCTTTGTACACCGCTATGCGCGCCGCCGGCGCCATGCCACTCGTCACCGCACCCGAGGGCCACGTCACACTGATGCCCGCCGCTACTCTGAGGGGGGAAGGGGGGGAGGAAGAGATGAAGGTTGGAGAGAAGAGAGAGAGAGGCGGGGCGGGGAGAGCGAAGAGGCCCTGAAGGAGGAACCAGGCGAAGGAAGGGTGCAGACTGGAAGTGACATGCAGAACTTTGAACAAGCCCCCTCGGCAAAACGAAAGACAGAGAGAAACAAGAAGAGACGGAAAGCACCAAGAAGTCTGCCAATCATTCCCAGCCTTCTCGCCCTCCACCCCTCATGTGCTCTCACGCCCCCCTGCCCCATGCTCACGCCCCCCGCCCCATGCTCACGCCCCCCCGCCCCATGCTCACGCCCCCCCCACCATGCTCACCCCCCCCGCCCCATGCTCACGCCCCCCTGCCCCATGCTCACCCCCCCCTCCCCGTGCTTTCACGCTCACCCCGCGCTCCACGTGCCGCGGCCGTCCATGTCTCTGGGCGAGTCGTACTCCACACTGAAGTCCGGGGTGCCCGCGCTCTGCGCGTATGCTGCGTACAGCTTGCGCGCGCCGATGATCTTGCTGCTGCACGCGAAGTCAGCTGTCGTGTCACACGTGCCCTGCCACCCCACCGGCACGCCACTGAACGCCTGGCACCAGAGAAGTCGGTGGGTGCGAGGAAGTGGGTGGGTGCGAGGAAGTGGGTGGGTGCGAGGAAGTGGGTGGGTGCGAGGAAGTGGGTGGGTGCCAGGAAGTGGGTGGGTGCGAGGAAGTGGGTGGGTGCGAGGAAGTGGGTGGGTGCGAGGAAGTGGGTGGGTGCGAGGAAGTGGGTGGGTGCGAGGAAGTGGGTGGGTGCGAGGAAGTGGGTGGGTGCGAGGAAGTGGGTGGGTGCGAGGAAGTGGGTGGGTGCGAGGAAGTGGGTGGGTGCGAGGAAGTGGGTGGGTGCGAGGAAGTGGGTGGGTGCCAGGAAGTGGGTGGGTGCGAGGAAGTGGGTGGGTGCGAGGAAGTGGGTGGGTGCAAGGAAGTGGGTGGGTGCGAGGAAGTGGGTGGGTGCGAGGAAGTGGGTGGGTGCGAGGAAGTGGGTGGGTGCGAGGAAGTGGGTGGGTGCGAGGAAGTGGGTGGGTGCCAGGAAGTGGGTGGGTGCGAGGAAGTGGGTGGGTGCGAGGAAGTGGGTGGGTGCAAGGAAGTGGGTGGGTGCGAGGAAGTGGGTGGGTGCCAGGAAGTGGGTGGGTGCGAGGAAGTGGGTGGGTGCGAGGAAGTGGGTGGGTGCGAGGAAGTGGGTGGGTGCGAGGAAGTGGGTGGGTGCGAGGAAGTGGGTGGGTGCGAGGAAGTGGGTGGGTGCGAGGAAGTGGGTGGGTGCCAGGAAGTGGGTGGGTGCGAGGAAGTGGGTGGGTGCGAGGAAGTGGGTGGGTGCAAGGAAGTGGGTGGGTGCGAGGAAGTGGGTGGGTGCGAGGAAGTGGGTGGGTGCGAGGAAGTGGGTGGGTGCAAGGAAGTGGGTGGGTGCGAGGAAGTGGGTGGGTGCGAGGAAGTGGGTGAAGCGAGGAAGTGGGTGGGTGCGAGGAAGCGGGTGGGTGCGAGGAAGCGTGTGGGTGCGAGGAAGTGGGTGGGTGCGAGGAAGTGGGTGGGTGCGAGGAAGTGGGCGGGTGCGAGGAAGTGGGTGGGTGCGAGGAAGTGGGTGGGAGCGAGGAAGTGGGTGGGTGCGAGGAAGCGGGTGGGTGCGAGGAAGGGGGTGGGTGCGAGGAAGTGGGTGGGTGCGAGGAAGTGGGTGGGTGCGAGGAAGTGGGTGGGTGCGAGGAAGTGGGTGGGAGCGAAGGAAGTGGGTGGGTGCGAGGAAGTGGGTGGGTGCGAGGAAGTGGGTGGGTGCGAGGAAGTGGGTGGGTGCGAGGAAGTGGGCGGGTGCGAGGAAGTGGGTGGGTGCGAGGAAGTGGGTGGGTGCGAGGAAGTGGGTGGGTGCGAGGAAGTGGGTGGGAGCGAGGAAGTGGGTGGGTGCGAGGAAGCGGGTGGGTGCGAGGAAGCGTGTGGGTGCGAGGAAGTGGGTGGGTGCGAGGAAGTGGGTGGGTGCGAGGAAGTGGGCGGGTGCGAGGAAGTGGGTGGGGTGCGAGGAAGTGGGTGGGAGCGAGGAAGTGGGTGGGTGCGAGGAAGTGGGTGGGTGCGAGGAAGTGGGTGGGTGCGAGGAAGTGGGTGGGTGCGAGGAAGTGGGTGGGTGCGAGGAAGTGGGTGGGTGCGAGGAAGTGGGTGGGTGCGAGGAAGTGGGTGGGTGCGAGGAAGTGGGTGGGTGCGAGGAAGTGGGTGGGTGCGAGGAAGTGGGTGGGAGCGAGGAAGTGGGTGGGTGCGAGGAAGTGGGTGGGTGCGAGGAAGTGGGTGGGTGCGAGGAAGTGGGTGGGTGCGAGGAAGTGGGTGGGTGCGAGGAAGTGGGTGGGTGCGAGGAAGTGGGTGGGTGCGAGGAAGTGGGTGGGTGCAAGGAAGTGGGTGGGTGCGAGGAAGTGGGTGGGTGCGAGGAAGTGGGTGAAGCGAGGAAGTGGGTGGGTGCGAGGAAGCGGGTGGGTGCGAGGAAGCGTGTGGGTGCGAGGAAGTGGGTGGGTGCGAGGAAGTGGGTGGGTGCGAGGAAGTGGGCGGGTGCGAGGAAGTGGGTGGGTGCGAGGAAGTGGGTGGGAGCGAGGAAGTGGGTGGGTGCGAGGAAGCGGGTGGGTGCGAGGAAGCGTGTGGGTGCGAGGAAGTGGGTGGGTGCGAGGAAGTGGGTGGGTGCGAGGAAGTGGGTGGGTGCGAGGAAGTGGGTGGGTGCGAGGAAGTTGGTGGGTGCGAGGAAGTGGGTGGGTGCGAGGAAGTTGGTGGGTGCGAGGAAGTGGGTGGGTGCGAGGAAGTGGGTGGGAGCGAGGAAGTGGGTGGGTGCGAGGAAGCGGGTGGGTGCGAGGAAGCGGGTGGGTGCGAGGAAGGGGGTGGGTGCGAGGAAGTGGGTGGGTGCGAGGAAGTGGGTGGGTGCCAGGAAGTGGGTGGGTGCGAGGAAGTGGGTGGGTGCGAGGAAGTGGGTGCGTGCGAGGAAGTGGGTGGGTGCGAGGAAGTGGGTGGGTGCGAGGAAGTGGGTGGGTGCGAGGAAGTGGGTGGGTGCGAGGAAGTGGGTGGGTGCGAGGAAGTTGGTGGGTGCGAGGAAGTGGGTAGGTGCGAGGAAGTGGGTGGGAGCGAGGAAGTGGGTGGGTGCGAGGAAGCGGGTGGGTGCGAGGAAGCGGGTGGGTGCGAGGAAGGGGGTGGGTGCGAGGAAGTGGGTGGGTGCGAGGAAGTGGGTGGGTGCGAGGAAGTGGGTGGGTGCGAGGAAGTGGGTGGGAGCGAAGGAAGTGGGTGGGTGCGAGGAAGTGGGTGGGTGCGAGGAAGTGGGTGGGTGCGAGGAAGTGGGTGGGTGCGAGGAAGTGGGCGGGTGCGAGGAAGTGGGTGGGTGCGAGGAAGTGGGTGGGTGCGAGGAAGTGGGTGGGTGCGAGGAAGTGGGTGGGTGCGAGGAAGTGGGTGGGTGCGAGGAAGTGGGTGGGTGCGAGGAAGTGGGTGGGTGCGAGGAAGTGGGTGGGTGCGAGGAAGTGGGTGGGAGCGAGGAAGTGGGTGGGTGCGAGGAAGCGGGTGGGTGCGAGGAAGCGTGTGGGTGCGAGGAAGTGGGTGGGTGCGAGGAAGTGGGTGGGTGCGAGGAAGTGGGCGGGTGCGAGGAAGTGGGTGGGTGCGAGGAAGTGGGTGGGAGCGAGGAAGTGGGTGGGTGCGAGGAAGTGGGTGGGTGCGAGGAAGTGGGTGGGTGCGAGGAAGTGGGTGGGTGCGAGGAAGTGGGTGGGTGCGAGGAAGTGGGTGGGTGCGAGGAAGTGGGTGGGTGCGAGGAAGTGGGTGGGTGCGAGGAAGTGGGTGGGTGCGAGGAAGTGGGTGGGTGCGAGGAAGTGGGTGGGAGCGAGGAAGTGGGTGGGTGCGAGGAAGTGGGTGGGTGCGAGGAAGTGGGTGGGTGCGAGGAAGTGGGTGGGTGCGAGGAAGTGGGTGGGTGCGAGGAAGTGGGTGGGTGCGAGGAAGTGGGTGGGTGCGAGGAAGTGGGTGGGAGCGAGGAAGTGGGTGGGTGCGAGGAAGTGGGTGGGTGCGAGGAAGTGGGTGGGTGCGAGGAAGTGGGTGGGAGCGAGGAAGTGGGTGGGTGCGAGGAAGTGGGTGGGTGCGAGGAAGTGGGTGGGTGCGAGGAAGTGGGTGGGTGCGAGGAAGTGGGTGGGTGCGAGGAAGTGGGTGGGTGCGAGGAAGTGGGTGGGTGCGAGGAAGTTGGTGGGTGCGAGGAAGTGGGTACGTGCGAGGAAGTGGGTGGGTGCGAGGAAGTGGGTGGGTGCGAGGAAGTGGGTGGGTGCGAGGAAGTGGGTGGGTGCGAGGAAGTGGGTGGGTGCGAGGAAGTGGGTGGGTGGGTGCGAGGAAGTGGGTGGGTGCGAGGAAGTGGGTGGGAGCGAGGAAGTGGGTGGGTGCGAGGAAGTGGGTGGGTGCGAGGAAGCGTGTGGGTGCGAGGAAGTGGGTGGGTGCGAGGAAGTTGGTGGGTGCGAGGAAGTGGGTGGGTGCGAGGAAGTGGGTGGGAGCGAGGAAGTGGGTGGGTGCGAGGAAGCGGGTGGGTGCGAGGAAGTGGGTGGGTGCGAGGAAGTGGGTGGGTGCGAGGAAGTGGGTGGGTGCGAGGAAGTGGGTGGGTGCGATGAAGTGGGTGGGTGCGAGGAAGTGGGTGGGTGCGAGGAAGTGGGTGGGTGCGAGGAAGTGGGTGGGTGCGAGGAAGTGGGTGGGTGCGAGGAAGTGGGTGGGTGCGAGGAAGTGGGTGGGTGCGAGGAAGTGGGTGGGTGCGAGGAAGTGGGTGGGTGCGAGGAAGTGGGTGGGTGCGAGGAAGTGGGTGGGTGCGAGGAAGTGGGTGGGTGCGAGGAAGTGGGTGGGTGCGAGGAAGTGGGTGGGTGCGAGGAAGTGGGGGGGTGCGAGGAAGTGGGTGGGTGCGAGGAAGTGGGTGGGTGCGAGGAAGTGGGTGGGAGCGAGGAAGTGGGTGGGTGCGAGGAAGTGGGTGGGAGCGAGGAAGTGGGTGGGTGCGAGGAAGTGGGTGGGTGCGAGGAAGTGGGTGGGTGCGAGGAAGTGGGTGGGTGCGAGGAAGTGGGTGGGTGCGAGGAAGTGGGTGGGTGCGAGGAAGTGGGTGGGTGCGAGGAAGTGGGTGGGTGCGAGGAAGTGGGTGGGTGCGAGGAAGTGGGTGGGTGCGAGAAGTGGGTGGGTGCGAGGAAGTGGGTGGGTGCGAGGAAGTGGGTGGGTGCGAGGAAGTGGGTGGGTGCGAGGAAGTGGGTGGGTGCGAGGAAGTGGGTGGGTGCGAGGAAGTGGGTGGGTGCGAGGAAGTGGGTGGGTGCGAGGAAGTGGGTGGGTGCGAGGAAGTGGGTGGGTGGAGGAAGTGGGTGGGTGCGAGGAAGTGGGTGGGTGCGAGGAAGTGGGTGGGTGCGATGAAGTGGGTGGGTGCGAGGAAGTGGGTGGGTGCGAGGAAGTGGGTGGGTGCGAGGAAGTGGGTGGGAGCGAGGAAGTGGGTGGGTGCGAGGAAGTGGGTGGGTGCGAGGAAGTGGGTGGGTGCGAGGAAGTGGGTGGGTGCGAGGAAGTGGGTGGGTGCGAGGAAGTGGGTGGGTGCGAGGAAGTGGGTGGGTGCGAGGAAGTGGGTGGGTCCGAGGAAGTGGGTGGGTGCGAGGAAGTGGGTGGGTCCGAGGAAGTGGGTGGGTCCGAGGAAGTGGGTGGGTCCGAGGAAGTGTGTGTGTGCATTGCACGGGTGTGCACTGCACGGGTGTGCAGTGCACGGGTGTGCAATGCATGGGTGTGCAACAGGCAGACAGCGAATAAGAGAGGGTGTGTGAGAGACTCAGGGAGAAGGAGTGTGTGCGTGAGAGGAAGGGGGAAAAAGAGAGTGTGCGTGTGTGAGAGGAAGGGGGAAAAAGAGAGTGCGTGTGTGAGAGGAAGGGGGGAAAGAGAGTGTGCGTGTGTGAGAGGAAGGGGGAAAAAGAGAGTGTGCGTGTGTGAGAGGAAGGGGGAAAAAGAGAGTGTGCGTGTGTGAGAGGAA